GGTGTGCGCCGCACGTGGAGGGGGGCGGGGGCGCGGCGGGCGCGCCGCGCCGCGCCTGCGCATTGAGGCCCGCAGGGGGCGCTGCCTCGTGGCCCCAGCGTCCCAGAGAGGGAGCGTCCCGGGGGCGCCGCTGAGATGACGGGTTCGAGCCCTGGGGAGGGCCCTGGGGGACACCGGTTTCCGGACCCCGTGTTGCTACTCTGTGATGGCATGAGCCCTGCGGGCTGGGGCTGGAGATTCATTTTCCGATCTAGATCCACATGTGAGCCTGGTCATCCACCTCCTGCCCTTTCCTTGAGTCTCAGCTTGCTCCTCTGTAACACAGGAACAAGAGCAGTACGGGGTGGTTCTGCTGCATCCTAATTTCAGTGTCGCCAATTTGACATCATACTGTATGGAAACATTCCGAAATCTCCTTCCATTTAGACAGGAGGAATACATTCTGGTGGTCTGGTGAACAGCAAGATGCCGCTGGGGAATAGAGCATGGCGGATTTTAAAATTGCTACACGAGTGGACTTCAGGTGTCCTCCGCGTAACGAACTGTGAGACCCACGTGGATGTAGTCATTGGCCTGACTGGCTCTTCCCACGGTGGGTTAAAGCATGGCACTGTACCCCATTGATACATAGCTGGCAACTTTTGAGAAACTGTTTTCGATCCTATAGCTGAATGTAAGACCCCCGTCACCTGGGGACACTGTTACAAATGTCAGTTAGTCTCCACCAGGGGAGAGCAATCAGCGGCCACCAGCCCTCCAGAGGACTGAGTCTCATGCAACTTTCAGAACCACTACGAGTTGGTACTGTCCAAGCAAAGGGACAAAAATGGGGGAAAAGGGCAGGAATAATATGCCTGTGAAGAAAGCTTGCAGGGAAAAACCTTCAGGCGACAACCATAGCAAAGCCGAGCTTCAGGACCTCAGTCCCCTCCCCTTACTCATCGGGGAAATTACCCTGACCCTCGGTTTCTAACTGTTGGGGATTTTCAAAATGGCACCCCTAGGGCTTCTGCTGTCTGAAGTGGAGTCCTCTGAACATCAAGAGGAAAGATGCAGGACCAGCTGGTGGCATGGTGGTTAAAGTGGCTGGATCCCACATGGCTGACTGTGTGGTTCGGGTCCCAGACCAGGCAGCTTGGAGAAACACCAAGTGTGTGTGCCCGAATCCCATCCCGAGAGGAGAATGAAGGAGGAGGGATTGAGGCATGGCCATCCTCCCTGGGGAGTGATCTCTCGCTTTCCTTCTCTTTCTCTGGCAAGCTCATGTGCCCTATAGCAAATTTTAAAAGTAAAATTTAAAAAAGCATCCAGGCCCACCTTCAAGGATTCTGGTTTTTCTCACTGAGGGGTAAGATAGGGACCACCTCCCTTCTTTGAAGCTCAACTGGGGATTCTAACTTGTGCCCGGTATAAGAATGGCTGACCTGAGACCAGTAGATGACATAATGGTTACGTCACTGGACTCCCACGTAGTTGGCCATGGTTCAAATCCCGGACCTGGCAGCTTAAAGCTCATGCCAGGGCCCTGTGCCAGGAGCCTGTGCTTGCGTGCCAAAAATCCTGAGAGGAGAAGGGAGAAGGGATTGCGGTGTGGCTATCCCCCTGGGGGCAGGGGGGGTGATTTCTCTCTTTCCATCTCTCTGTCTCTCTCTGTCTCTCCTGCAAATGCACATGCCTTATAACAAAAATCTCTCAAAATAAGAATGGCTGACCCACAGAAAGTAACACTGTTGTGGCTATATCTAGGTTTATGGCTCCTCTTTATCTGTGACCAGGCACTTACTGAAGAGACACAAAGTTTCCCACTTGAAGGGTGTAAGCAGAGAGGATAGATTAAAAGCGAAACAGAGCGAATGATAACTTGAGCACTGCGCAGATTGCGTAATAGGGAGTGTTAGATCTACTTAGCGCTCATGAAACATGGTATCCAAATACAAACACTGAAATTGAGACACAGAGGGCTAGCCCTTGGCCAGAGTCCCTTAGCTACAAAGTAACGTTTCTGATGTCAAGGTTGCAGGACGGCGGCTGCATCCTCTACCGCCCTCTAGTGGTCTGGTTTGTTTGCAGCCAAGGGGACTTCGTAATACTTATTCCCCTGCATTGCACCTTGCAGATGGCTGGGACTTGCAGATATTTGGAGGGGGTCCTCTTTCTGGTCTCCAGCAAGCTCTCTGGACCTCCCAATTTGCTGCCAGCCACAGGTGTATTCAGTAGTTTTCTTCCAAGAGCCAATGTCCACACAACCACAATATTGAATATGGTGGGGTCAGCAGGTGGCGTGGTGGTTAAGGCGCTGGACTCCCACATGGCTCACATGGTTCAAGTCCTGGACCGGGTGGCTTGCTTTTTCACTTTCTCTGTCTCTCTCTCTGTCTCTGCGTGTCTTTCTCTGGCGAGTGCGGCTGACCTCTAGCGGACTGAAAAATAATAATGATAACTTTAAAATTAAATAGTGAATTTAAAAACTGTGTGGAATATGAGCCGTGATTCTCTTTAGGGAATCTCACAGAAGCACAGCTTCAACGATATCAAGACACATTTTGTAGCTCGTTTCACAAAAGCAGAGGAAGTCCTCAAGCCATCGCGATCCATCCTGGGACCACATGGGAAGAACGTTTGCTTTCCAGAATTAAAAAGCCGAAAAGACCCAGACGCAAGAGACCCAGGGTCCAGGGTCCGTCTTACTTCTGCCACACTGGCGCAGAGATCTGGGGAAGGGCAGGCCTGGGTTCAAGGCCAGGCTGTGTGGTCTCGGGCCAGTAGCTTGCCTTCTCTGCGCTACATGTATAACATGAGCATATTTCTGTCTATCTGAAGTGCTGCATTCCGGAGATCATCTGCTCACTCATTTTAGTATGTTATTTTAATTTTTTTAGTTTGCTGTAGGGTGCATGCGCTTACTGGAGAGACAGAGAGAGAGGGAAAGTGAGAAATCAGCCCCCTGGGGGCGATGCCCCTGCCAGTCTTTTCTCCTCCACTCTCCTCTCAGGATTTTGGGCACACATGCACACATGCCCAGCATGTTCTTCAAGCTACTGGGTCCTGGACTGGAACCACTCAGTCAGCCACTTGGGATCCAGCCACGTTAATGTGTGTGCCCCTGCTGGCCCCAGATACTCACATATATTTTTTTAGTTGAGAAAAGCGTAATTTTTTTTTTTGAGAGGTTTTTGCTATAGGGCGCATGCGCTTGCCAGACAGACAGAGACATAGAGACAGAAAGCAAGAAATCCCCCCCCAGGGGGGATGGCCACGCCACAATCCCTTCTCCTCCATTCTCCTCTTGGGATCTTGGGCACGCACACACACGCGCCCGGCGTGAGTTTTAAGCCACCGGGTCCGGGATGTGAACCACAGTCGACTACGTGGGAGTCCAGCGACATAGCCATTACGCTAACTGCTGGTCCCCAGCTTATTAATTTTTTTGAGAGAGATTTTTTTTTAAAGAATTATTTATTTAATTTTATTTATTCATTCATTCATTTTAATTTGACCAGAAGAGACACAGAGAGAGAGAGAGAGAGAAATTGGGAAAGCAAGCCACCAGGTCTGGGACTCAAACCGTGGTTGGCCATGTGGGAGTGTCCAGCACCTTGGCCACCACGCCACCTGCTGGTTCCTGAGATTTTGTTTGACTCACTGGAGAGACAGAGAGACGGAAAACAAGAAATTACTCTCCCCCAGGGGAGATGACCATGCAGCAGTCCCTTCTCCTCCATTGCTCTGTCGGGATCTTGGGCACACACGTACACCCAGTGTGTCTGTTTGTTTAAAGACTTATTTTATTTAACTCTATTTGTTTATTTATTTTAATTTGACCAGAGAGGGACAGAGTGAGAATGAGAGAAGTGGAAGGTGAGAAAGCAAGCTGCCAGGTCTGGGGCGCAAACCACGGTCAGCCATGTGGGAGTCCAGCACCCTTAATCACCATGCCACCTGCCGGCCCCCTGGCGTGAGTTTTAAGCTGCCAGATCCAGGACTCAAACCGTGGTCGACTATGTGGGCGTCCAGTGATATAACCATTAAGCCATCTGCTGGCCCTCAGACACGCATCTTTTGCAGATGTCAAACAGTCTTTGGAGACTGAAACCAACCCACGGTCCCAGGTAAAGAACCCCTTCTGGGACCAGCAGATGGTATGTTTATGTCGCTGGACTCGCGGTTCGAGTCACAGACCTGGCAGCTTAAAACTCACACGGGGTGTGTGTGCGTGCGTATCCAAGATCCCAAGAGAACAGAGAAGAAGGAATTGTGGCGTGGCAATCCTGGAGGTGATTTCTCGCTTCTTGTCTCTCTGTCTCTCTCTCCCTCTCTCTGGCAAGCACACGTGCCCTATAGCAAAAATCTCCCTCTAAAAAAAAAGCCCCTACTGTGTGTCCCCATCATGTACCAAGCTCTGGCACTAGCTTGTCTCATCGCTCCATCCTTCCATCCTGCAAACTCGTTCCCAACCCCGGGGTTTTCCACCTGCCATTCCCCCATCCCTGGGTTCTTGGTGTGGCTGGGTTCTTTTCTTCTTTCTTTTTCTTTTCTTTTTTTGGAAAGATTTTTGCTACATAGGGTGCATGCACTTGCCAGAGAGACAGAAAGTGAGAAACCACCCCCCAGGGGCATGGCCACACCAAAATCCCCTCTCCTCTGCTCTCCTCCCGGGATCTTGGGCACGCACACACACGTGCCTGGCATGAGTTTGAGTTCGTAACACCGGGTCCAGGACTCAAACCGCGGTCGGCCATGTGGGAGTCCAGGAACTTACCTGCGACGCCCTCTGCTGGTCCCATAGCTGTGTTCTTGATGTGGTCGATTCCTCTCGATATCGAAGGCTCAGCTGACCTCCCCCTCCCCGAGAGGGCCGCTCTCCACCCACCCTCCCCCACAACATCATCATGCTTTGTCTTTCCGTAGCTCATCGGGGCCTGCTTTGTCTGTGTGTCTTTTTCTTTTTTCTTCCCTTTCCTTTATTATGATTTTTTAAATTTGCTATAGGTTATGTACAATCACCAGAGAGAGAGAGAGAGAGAGGGAAATACCAAGGCCAGGACTTGAACCGTGGTCGGCCACGTGGTAGCCCAGCGCCTTAACCACCGCGCCACCTGCTGGCCCCAGTGCGTATCTTTTCCTTTGTGTAGCGTCGGTCTCCCTCAGTAGCGTGGGCAAGCACTCTACACATCTTTGCTGTCCCGCATCTCCCAGCAGTGAGTGCAAAATGAGTGAAGAAGGTCGGAATGACACGAGTGGATAAACGAATAGAAAAATGGGTGGTTGGGGGGCTGGCAAGTGGCGTGGTGGTGAAGAACGCTGGACTCCCACATGCAGTCTAGGGTTCAAGTCCTGGACCTGGCAGCTTGATTTCTCTCTCTCGCTCCCTCTCTGATCAAATTAAAAATAAATAAATGAAATTATTAGAAAAATGGGTGGCGAATGCGAATGGGGGGGCAGGCGTGAGATGAGGGGGCGGGATAGACAGCGGCTACGTGGACAGACGAACGGGGGGGTGAAAGGGGTAAGGAGGCAGGGGGATGGGACAGTCGGTGGGTGGCATTAATGGATGAACAGGGAGACCGAATGCAGGGAGAGATGGGTGCCCGGACAGGTGGGCAGGACAGGTGGGACGGATTCCTGGCTTAACAGCACATTCAGCGGCGAGGGGGAGGAGTGGAAGCACAGATAGATAAATTCACGGTGTGTGGACGGATGGCTAAAGCACCGAAAGGGGGGACCAGTGGGTGGCATGGTGGTTAAGGGCGCTGGACACGCCCATGTGGCTGACCGCAGTTCGAGTCCCAGACCTGGCAGCTTGCTTTCTCACTTTCCCCCTCTCTTCTCTCTTTCTCTCGTCGAATTAAAATAAAATGAAATTATATAATTTTTTTTAAAAGGAAGGGGGAAAAAAAGCAATGAATGGGTGGATTAACGAATGGGTAATCTATGCCAAACTAGAGACCAACGAGGAAAGGAATATTCTTTTTTTTTTTTTTTTTTCCACAGGGTGTTTGAATTTCAAAAGTAGGAAAAAACAAAAACGTTGCTTCCCCAAGATAATGCAACTCACAAGTGGTGGAGCACGGGACCAGCAGATGGCTTAATGGTTACGTCGCTGGACTCCCACTGAGTCGACTGAGGTTCAAGTACCCG